TCTAACCAGGATGTAGACGAAACTAAAAGCACACCCAGTCCCATTTGGGCCTCTTCTCCTCCCCCCAGGCCTCTCTCTGATAAAACTCTCCACTCAGCCTGGGTCACCATCACTGGATGCAGAGGGAAGACTTGGACGGACCAATGGGAGCAGAAAGAGCTCTCAGGGCTCCATGCCCCCCTCCTCCTGTGTGGATTCTTTAATCCATTAAGGCTTGACCTTCCACTTGCTTTGTCTACGTGGAGCTGCCGGCACCACCAAGTGTCTTCAAAAACCGGAACAGACAGCATTGGTGTGAACAAGACTTCTGAACTGAGATCATGTGATTTTTAACGTGTCTTTTATCATTCGTCCGTTGTATTCGTAAATAAAACCACGGGACACATTTTAATAAATCCCACAATTTGAAAGATATTAAGCTCAAATTTAGTGTGGTAGTAGCTGAGAGTCATCTCCAACACAAACTCTAAGAGCTAACTGATGGAGTGAGATCTGCTTTTAAAAATTTGCCAATAACTCTCAGGATCAGCTCTGATTCTGTTAGCAAAAGATCACATGAACCAGTGGATAGTTTTCTTGTTAATTTCACACAAAACAAATATTGAGTGTTTACTTGTTAACTTTTGGAGATATATATACAGGTATATATTATAATTTAAGACGACCTTCTTAGCCAACAAAAAATACAAAAAATATAAATGGTTGTAATTTACACATTTTTACAGAAACTGAGCTGACATTTGATGTGGTAGTGGCAGAGCATTGTCCATAATAAATACTTTGAGTGCTACATATTGTGCAATGTTTTTACTTAAAAAAATTTGCATCAGCTGTTAGCATCCACCTATGTCCGTCTGTTAGCAAAATAGATTGTGAAACACAGGGCAGATTCTAATTAAACCCTCAAAGTAATCTTTGGATGTACATCAACAACTTATTAATTATTGGAGTTAATCCAATTCAAAATGGCCACCTCAGCCAACTGAGCTTAACACAAAAATTGTCATTTTTACAAATACTGAGCTAAATTTTTGTATGGCAGTAATTGATAGTCATTCACATCACATACTCTAAGCCAGTGGTTCCCAACCCTAGTCCCTGAGGAACACCATTCTGCATGTTTTAGCTGTTTCCCTCCTATGACACTCGATTTGAATGATTTAGTTATTAACAGACTTTGGCAGAACTTGAGGAAGTAATTAAATAATTGAATCAGCTGTGTTGAAGCACGGAAACAGCTAAAACAGGCAGGGTGGTGTTCCTCAGGGACCAGCATTGGGAACCACTACTTTGTTATTATAATATTACATACAGGTGTTATAGTAGCACTTTGAGATTGTAAAATGTAATGTGCAGTACAAATTGATTAAATTATTATTATTATACGTTGTGAATGAGTTTTGCTTAAAATGTGGCACTAGTGTTAATTGTTAACTATCAGTCTGTTAGCAAAATATCTCAAACTAGGACAGATTTTAATGAAAATCTCTAGTTATTATTGAATTTACCAGTTTATCTCGAGTTAACCCAATTCAATGAAACATACCCAACGCAAAACTACCTATAACTCACTCAGTTTTACAGATGTTGAGCTAAATTTGGTGTGGTAGTAGCTGAGAGTCATTCTAAACACAGCGCACAAGAGCCCATAACATCTCGAGACTGTGCATAATGTCAGGATGCACAGAGAGTGGAGTACAAACGAAACCATGCTGATGCTGTGAAACTAAACAGACAGGCCCGACCGGAGCTGAGCGCCACAGTGCAGGGAGCGGGGATCGACTCCGGGCCAGAACCAGTCAATCAGGCTGCACTGGACCGACAGGGGTCTGCTCAGACAGAACAACCCGAGTCAGGAGATTCTGTTTTCCTCTCATCCTTGTTTTAACAGAACCATAATCCTCAGATAAAAGCAGGCATTTAAAAAATGTCCACCCCATCACAACCCCCCGCCATGTAAGAATAATGACTCAATACCACCTAAGCTCCAAAATCAAAAATAGCAGGCTCATCATAGCAGAAAATGATAAATCTAAATTCAAAATTTAAAAGCATAATGTTATAAAAGCTAAATATAATCCCATATGTGTCCCAGAAAGGTGTCATGGTTAAATAGTCACATCTGTTGGAAACACGTGAACTTGTGTTTCTTGAAAAGCAGGTTTAGATTGATCTTCAAGGCTCGTTCACCCAATAGCCTTCAAGAATATTGAATTAATTCAGGTATAGAAAACAAACATCCTCTTCTCTTGGTTTTCGGTGTTTGTGGTTACACGTGATAACGACAAACGTTTAGTCCGACTTAATCTGAACTGCGGGGCGATAAAGCCTCATTAGGACTGTAAACACTGTCAGTATTTACAGAGCCATGCTTGCTAACAGGGTGTGGAAAAATATTAAAACATTTTGTGGTTTTAGATTATGAAAGGTTTTTTTTTTGGTTCCATATATTTTTCTCCTGCTGCCGAAACCAAAGCAGAAATAATGTTTCTGCCCGAGTAACTGTGCAAGGGGTGTAACGTTAGCAAAATATCTCAAGAACCATGAGAGAGATTTTAATCAAGATGGCCGCCACTGTTAAGTGACCTTTACCAATATAGTATTTTTCGGACTAAGTGAAACAAAACAGTCAGATAAGCCAAACATTATTCAACTCGTTCACAATAACTCTGAACATCGTTCAGTTGTACCACATAAAATCAATTTGAGGTCAGTAAGCACAACCAGAATTAATACATAAGGTGCACCTGATTATAAGGCTCACTGTCGATTTTTGAGAAAATTAAAGGATTTTAAGTGCGCCTTCCAAAAAATACGGTACATAAATGGTTATAACTCAGTCAGTTTAGCAGGTATCGAGCTAAAGTTTGCTGCGTTTGTACCTGGAAACCATGCCAGCCTTTAAAATCATCAATGTTTGTCCATTAGCAAAATATTGCATGAATCACTGGATAGAAGTTAGTTAGATAGTTAGACTGGATAGAAGTTAGCAGGTTACCAGCCCCGATCACTGGGGCATGCATTTGGCTCAGATTCCAGCAATCAGAAGTCACACATCAGATGTAAAAGTTTCATTAAAAAGAAAGTTTTTAGACACTGTTCTAAATTCTGAGCAACTTTCATGACAATCTGTTTACATGAAAGCGTTTGTTATCGGATCGACCTTTTAATTTCTCTAAAATTGCCACAATTTTTTATTTCTCAACTAACTTTTAACAAACTTGGTATTATTTTTCTTGTTGCATCCTACTCTGAATTCTTAATGAAACTTTCAGAAAGAAAAAAATCGAACGTTAGTCTGAAACTCTTTAACATTTGGAGTAAACCCAAATCAAAATGGCCGCCACAGCTTGTCCCTACAAACAAACAAAAAAAAAAAAAATAGCCATAATTGTCAGTTTCACAGATTTTAAGTTAAATTAATTGAGTAAATAAGTTGGTCGTCGCAAAAAAGTCTGTAATTTAAGCACAATTTTTGAGGTCTTACCAAAATGTTTGTGTTATGTCTCTCTTGTATGCCATTTATTATTTTTCATAATCATTTTAAGAGAAAAGTATTGCACAACAATTATAATTCTTGGCTGCAGCTAAAAGGATTTGTTGTTTTTCAGTCAAAGGGAATTCATTCAGAGCCATCAAGCATTCAGAGACGGCTGCCAGAGCTGAAATCAGCAGAGTGCCGCCAAATATCAGCACGTAGCCTCGATTCAGAAGCACCTCAGAGTCTTCATGGTGAGAGCTGCAGCCTCATCAGAGGACGAGGGGGTGGGGGGCCAGGGGAGGAGGTTTCTGAAGTGATTAAGTGCAGAGATAGCATTAAAAAAAACAGCATCTCAACCTGCTGATTTCATTAGTTCCTTCAATCAGCTGTCAAAGAGAAAGCAAAACAATTCAGAAGTTGATGTTTAAGGTTCTGCTGTGCTTTAAAAGTTCCATCACACAGATTTAATAAGACCAACATGCCATGACTTTAAGCAAAAGAAAAAAAATGTAAATAATAATATAAATAACAGAAGGTGTTCAAAGATTTCATTTTGGACAAAAGTCCTCCTCGGAAAATAAATCAGTGGGTTTCAAGCTGGGGAAAATATGATCTGGTGCTGAACAAATCAGAAATAAAAAAGTATTGCATGATGATCACACAGGGCAGCACGGTGGCGCAACTGGTAGAGCTGCTGCCTCTCAGCGAGCAGGTCCCTGGTTCAAACCCCGGTCCAGGGGCCTTCTGGGTGGAGTTTGCATGTTCTCTCCGTGCATGCGTGGGTTTTCTCCGGGTACTCCGGTTTCCTCCCACAGACCAAAAACATGCATGTTAGGCTGATTGGTAACTCTAAATTGTCCCTAGGTGTGAGTGAGAGAGTGAATGGTTGTTTGTCTCGTTTGTCTCTATGTGGCCCTGTGATGGACTTGCGACCCGTCCAGGGTGTACCCCGCCCCTCGCACAGTGATTGCTGGACATGGGCACCAGCGACCCCCGTGACCCAAAATGGAATAAACGGGTAAAGATAATGGATGGATGGATGATGATCACACAAACGGAGCAGGACAGGTGAGAAATGTCCAGCTCGACACTGAAGCATCTTGAACCATCAGCGCATTCAAATGCTGCACAAAGGCACCTTCATCTGTTTCTGCTTGCACACATTTGCAACATTCCTAACCATCAAAAACATGGAGCAATTATTATAAAAAATATATAATTATTGATTTTTTTGGGTGCAACTGGTACCTTGAGTGCACAATTTCGTTTCACCTCATGTACTACATGCAAAAGTTTCCTTGAACCATAATGCACTATTATAAAATCCAGTGGTTGCTTTAGGCCTATTTATCTCTTGAAGAACACTATTTAAATGTTCAATAATTGAATCCAAAACTCATAAAACACTTTTAAAATATGTTTCAAGTTCTAAGAGTAATCCTGCCATCCAGCCGGCTGCGCACCAGCTCTCCTCTTACCTGTAAAACAGGTAACAGTCATGGTTAGTGGCACAACTTACCTGCCAGGATGGCTTTTCCCGGGTGAGTTAGTTTGGGCGCAGCTGCAGCCAGACACCGCGGTCTGTTGAAAGGGCTGTAAAATCCGCCTCTGTTCTGCATCATCCCACTGTAAAGTCTACAAAAGCTCGTGAGCAGATGTAAGATTTTCCCCCCCTTCAGGTGTGTTGCTGACAGGTGTGTTCCTCCTTCTCGTTTCAAGTTTAGAGAAGAGGTTCGTGCGCTCCGCTGGATGACGGTGATATGCGCGCTGCGCCCCGGAGCCTCCCGGATCTCGGAGCGGTGGGCGGGTACAACCAAGGAGGTTGGGATTCAGTTTTCCATTAGATGTTGACTGTAACTATGGCAACGCCGTGTGTGACTCGCGAGAGTGCGTAAGAGCGTAAGAAACCCGGAAGCGGCGATCGATAATTGTGTGTTCAGAGCGCATCATCAATGCAATAAACTTTAATCTCTGCCAGGAAGTTTTAAAGCCCAAACAGCGTTCGGTACAAAACGGAGGAAAGAGGCTGCGTTTAAAGAAACACCCCCCCACAATAAAAGAGGGCGGGGCTCTGTTCGCTTAGAAAGACGTAAAATAAGTTATTAATCTTGTTATGAAGTCAATTTCCGTCAAAAGTTAACGTGGAGTCTCGATGTAAAACAAGGAGAAACTGGCTTTTGTTGTGAAAATGCAGCGAGTGCTGAATTACTTTCCTGAAATCTTGTAAAAGCTAAAACTAAGTGATTGAAAGGCCTGAATGCTAAAAGTAGCAAGCATGGCTACATAAAATAGCTAAATGCTTACTAAATTATCAGAAGGCTAGCATAGCAAGGCTAGCTAGAAGACAAAAAGTATCAAAAGGTTAGTTCAAAGTAGCAAAACGCTAACTAAAGTATCAAGAAAAGCCAAATCTGCAGTGGAAGTGGTCTCCAGCTACAAGTACTCAGGTGTGCACCTGAAGGACAACCTCAGCTGGAGCAACAACACCACCAGCCTGATTAAGAAAGCTCATCAGAGACTCTACTTCCTCAGGTGGCTGACACGAGCTGGTCTGGGAAGCTCAGTCCTCACCTCCTTCTACAGGTGTAGTGTCCACTGTGGAGAGCATCCTGTGCTCCAGCATCAACATGTGGCATGGAGGCTGCACAGCTGCAGAAAGAAAAGCTTTGCAGAGAGTGGTGAAGGCTGCGCTGAAGTCAGCCTCCCCTCCATCACAGACATTTATGCCTCCAGATGCAGGAAGAGGGCCACCTGCATCATGAAGGACCCCACTCACCCAGCACACACACTTTTTGCCTCGCTTCCTTCAGGAAGGAAGTTAAGAAGCATTAAGTGTAGAACCACTAGACTGAGGAACAGCTTCTACCCTGAGGCTGTTAGACTCATGAACCAGGATAATCACTTTGAAAAATCACATCATGTTGCTGCTGATCTGTTTCATGTTGCTGCTGATCTGTTTCATGTTGCTGTGTTCATTCGTGTTCATCTGCTCACACAGACTCATGTTCGTGCTGCTGTTTGGCGTATTATGTTATTAGTTTGTATTGTATATTTAGTTGTTTTTCTTAGTTCATATCTTAGATCTTATTAGTTTTTCTTTTACATTTTATTGTGAGATGTAACTGCATGGGACCCCATGTACATAATCTCGTTCCACCACATGTACCACATGTGGTGTGTATGAAAAATAAAACTGACTGACATGTAGGAAGTCTAGCTAAAAAACAAAGTATCAAAAAGCCTAACTAGTTAAAACAATAGCGTTTCAAGTAGCTAAAGTTCAAGTAGCTAAACAGAAAAGTACCAAAAGAGCAAAAAATAAAGCTATAGTCGATTACAAAGAATAGTGTTTTTTTTAAGTAACTGAAGAGATCCGAGTGTATTTGTATGGAGAAAATACACTGCTGGACAAAAAAAAAAAAAAAAAAAGACACCACCTGGATTTAACTAAGCAAATGGGTACGAGCCTCCTATTGGATAATTACTGCATGGACGATTATCTTTCAGCTGGCAACAAGTTATTTAACTGGTGCAAGGAGTTAAACAACCATGTTGAAAGACACACGGCATGGTCGTGGAAAAGATGAGTCTGTTTGAGAAGGGTCAAATCACTGGCATCAAGCAGAGCAAACATCTAAGGACGTTGCAGAAACTACTAAAATTCGGTTAACAACTGTCCCAACACATGAAAAACTGGAAGGATAGTGGGGACCCATCGTCTTCAAGGAAGACCGAAAAAAATCCTGAATGATCGTGATCGGCGATCACTTAAACGTTTGGTGAAATCAAATGGAAGAAGAACAGTAGCACTCAGGGCTGTGTAATAGTGAAAATAAGAACATTTCCACACGCACAATGTGAAGGGAACTCAAGGGACTGGGACTGAACAGCTGTGTAGCCTTAAGAAAACCACAGTGATGCTAACTGGAAAAAAAAAAGGCTTCAATTTGTTAGGGAGCATAAAGATTGGACTCTGGAGCAATGGAAGAAGGTCATGTGGTCTGATGCGTCCAGATTGACCCTGTTCCAGAGTGATGGTGCATCAGGGTACGAGAGGAAGGTGAAGTGATGCACCCATCATGCCTAGTGTCTAGTAATCAATGAATGCAAGATCTTGGTGAAACATTAATGCAACACTGGATGGAAATAGATCTTGTGACATTGCAGAAGCTTATCGAAACAATGCCACAGAGAATGCATGATGTAATCAAAGCTAAAGGCGGTCCAACAAAATATTAATGACACCTTTATTTTTTTAGTTGATACTTTTTTTTTTTTGGATAGGCAGTGTATTTATAAATTAAAAGGTGAAAAATTAAAAAGTATGGAGAAGTTATAAAACCCAAAAGTCAAGGCACCCATCTGCTGAATGAACTGAGTTTGGATTTTATGCACAGCTAAAATAGCACAACAGGAGTACTGCCCCCCCAAAAAAACAAACAGCATAAACGGTGTGAACGCCGACTCGGCATCAACTAAAACTGACACCACTTCGCAGACTTTGCCATTTATTCAGCTAAATATTTTTTCACTTTTGTTCTTTTATTACAAATAGTCATACTTAAAGACTACAACACTTCATAGACGATACATGTGTTTCATACTATTTTGCTGTTTTAATTTGTTAGGTATTTCATCATATTTAAATTATACACCATTGTAAGTACAGTAATATGTAACTCCTTGAGACTTGAAGCTTAACCACTTTTTTTTTTTTCTTCAGTGTTAGTTTGGTGGAAAAGTTTCATAATACACTTATTTTTTGACACATCAGTAATACTTGAGTGGAACGTGACATTTGTGCTACTGGTTGCAGTAATATTTGGCGACACATGCACAAACTGTTCTTATACATCTGCTTTCTTTCCTTTTAATCTTTTTAATCAAATCCATCGTGAAACTCCAGATGTCCGGATACTAAAATGTCAACTGACAAGATCACTTTAAATACCGGTAGGTCTGCAGCTGCAAGGTGTGAAAGTTTCACTGACATTCTCCTGGACTGACATACTCAGAATATCCCTGACCAACAAATGTCTTTAGTCCGGTTTGTGAAAGGAAAAAAAAAAAACTATTGCACAGAAACTGCTGTTCTAATCAGAGCATGAGACAGTTGTGAGTTTAAACGTGAAGCTGCCACCTTGTAAGGCAGCTAGTGCTTCAGAGGGGTGGGAGAGCGACAAGCCCCACATCCCCTTCGCTCCTCATTTAAATCTCTTCTTCATCAGTGCTAAAAGAAATCGACACAAAACAAGCTGGGTGATAAAGTCAACACGGAACAGCAAAAAGACGGAGTGGTTGTCACTAAAGATGCGGCCAATCTTCCAGCAGCTGAGAGGTGACTTCATGCCGTTTAGATGTGTGGCGCTGTAAAGTTCGGGGTGGGGTGGTGGGGTGGGGGTGATCAAAACGCCTCAAAGCCAACATGGTCTCTAGTGTTTCTGATGCAAACGTCTCAGCGGCGCAGCAAAACTCAAGATGAGGCTTTCCACTGTAGTTTCAGTGCGAATGGGTGGAGTCTTGGTGAGTAGGTGAAGGTCTCCACGCCATCGACCGAGACCCAGAGCAGCACTGGAGGGGGGACGGGAGTGACCAAAGGTGGAGGACAAGGAGTTAGGACTCTACATGTTGAAGCCATATGCGGGCTGTGGAGGGTAACCAGCTGCGGGGGCGGGGTAGCCGTAACCTGGGTACGCCGACTGAGGAGTCGCAGGAGCAACGGGAGTAACAGGAGCGGCGGCGGCGGTCAGCATCAGCTGTTGGCCTGAAAACACAAACATTCACACATATGGGGTTATTAACAGAATAAACATGAGTAAAATCAATGAAATATACACAATTATCAACTGTTGTTTTGCGCAAACTTCTCTTTACATTTTAGTATAGAATCCATCAGAACCACAAAAAAATGGGTAAAGTCTGAGAAAGCAAGTTTAAACCTCATCTTGTTTACAGATTTGGCATCAGCACAGAAGGCCCAGATCATTACAAATAGAAACTAATTTGGTTAAAATCGAAAAACTAAGGAGACTTTAAGCTCTAACCACAGACTAGTGTCTGATGGCAACTTTCAGTTTTAGTAGTGGTGTTCCTAGAGACCAGATACCGTCCTCAAATCCTCGTAAAACACCTCAATACTTGGGACCAAAACCACTTTTATGTTCGGTGACATCATTTTCTCTGTCACTTCACAATAGAGGCCAGAAAATACACAAGTATTAGTATTAGTAAGACATGCGGTTTTAAATTCACTGTGTATTGTTACGTACTTATTACCTACTCTGTACCGTACTCAGTACCGGCAAGTACCCAAACTTAAGTACTTGTACCCGTAGTAGAAAAACTATACTATTGAAATACCCCAAATATTTAGTGCCAACAACTGATGAATTTCTTGCCAAATATATAAAGTTTTTTAAAATATTTGCATTAAAACAAGATATAAGTAACAAATATTTATCTCAAGGAAATTCTGATTTAACTTGAATCAAAGGCTGAATGTTTGCAATTAATTTAAATCTGCACCAAAGTAGTTTAAAAAGATTTTACCTTTTTGTGAGGGGGATACACTGAAAGACCTTTATTGTTGTTTATTTATAGTAAATTCTGAAACAAGTTTTACCACTTTACCACTATGAAAGTAAAATAAAATTGTACACATTTTGGATTTTTCTACATTTTAGTGATTGGACTCGTTTAAATTTTCTTTACGAGCTCTTTTTTTAAAATTACTTTTTTGGAGTATATAAACATTTTTCTTGCAACGGAAGCATTTTCAGAAAACAGCTTCAACTGAACAGTTTGACAAATTTTATGACAAAGTTGCCTGGATTCATTCATTCGTCATAAACAGCTACAGTTGCCCTCATTTAATTAAAAAAAATACAAAATGAAAATTGTGAAACTAACATTTTCTTTGCATGATCTGCCTGTAAAGAACAAATCTCTGTTAAAAAAAAACAAAAAACAACAGTTAAAGATGAACAGCAGCTTTAGCTTTTATTTTTGTGGCTAAAACTGATGAACTTTTCTTTGAAACTTACCAAACACAATCGCCTGAGGCTCTGTTACTTCATCTTCAGTTTTCCTGTTGCTTTCTGCCTCCTCCAGTTTGTCCACCTGAAGGGAAAGAAAACAGAAAAAAATCAAACATTCACTCAAACTGCTCAGTTAACATTTAGTAGATACACCCTACAACCTTTCTATCAAATAATATACTTGAACTTTTTTTTAAACTTTTTAAAACATTTTTTCCCTGAAAATGATCCAATCTAAACTCTAAAGCTCCTGTTGTTTGACTACACTAAACACTTTTATTCCAGGTTAATAAGTCTTGACAAACCAACATAAATTAGATTGAATAGATCTGCATCTTAAAAAAAACTGAACACATGTGCAACTACAGTAACCAAAGAGACAACATGCAGGTCTGACGAGAACATTTAAAAACAGCTTCCATGTTTAGTGAACAATTAAAGGGTCAGTTCAGCAAAAATAAAGACGTCTATTCAAGACCACATTCAGGAGCGCTTTCTTGATAAATCAAAACTTGGGTTTCGTCAACAAATAAAGGAAGGCACTTGTTAAGAATTGTGAACGACCACGATGTTAAAAGACGCAAGCTTACAGACAACGGCACCAAAACAGCATCACGAGTCAAATCCAGGCAGGATTCTCGAGTGCGTGTGTGAACTGACCCCTTAAAGGCAGCATTACGAACACTAAGGTTAAATATAAAACATTCTGAGTGGAGAAGCTGCACAGTGCATGCCTATCAGCAGAGGTTACGTTTGCAGCCAGTCTTGTCTTGTTAAAAGCTTTTACATGCATCTCAATCCTGGCTGTGAGCGGGTCCTCCTGACGGATTAAAAGTTAGTCATTCTGATAGATTTAAATCAGGCTGCATGTCAGACGCTCAGAGGTTCAGCTCATCCTTGCCAGGCATTCAAGTCTTCGTACAGCGAGTTGCTCACAGCACCGTTCCTCCTAGTTACCAAGTGCAAAAAACCATAATCAGGCGTTGTGCTTCAATTGGATGAGTTTAAAAAGGTTTCTGATGTAAGTGGGATCGGCTTAAACAGTGGGGCACCTCAATAAATGTGGGATTTTACAGAGTTAAAATTAAGAGAACTTAAAGTAATGAAAAGGTACAACACTCTGAAAACACTTTCCTGTTTAAAAAAAAGAAGAAGGGATTTAAATTAATTTCTGAAACGCATGTTTCAAATAATTGATCTAGAAAAGTCGTCTCGCAGAAACAGGAGAACATGGATTCATATTTTAAATGTTTGCAGCTTTGAACTGATCCAAAAAGTAAAATTAAAATTCAATGACCTGCAGTTAGAGACACGGGGGAGGCATCCATCTCATTTTAAGTGGCTTTTTCTTCTTACTAAATCATCATTTCAGGGCTTTCAAACAGAATGAACTGAGTGGGGAAAACATCCTCTCGTCATCCATCATGCAGTCAAGGGTTTCAAAATGCCACCTAAAATCCAGATGTAGCCCCGTGGAGGAGTTAGAAGGTGAGAGGGTTTGGTTAGGTCTAAATGTGGTCATGAAGGAACTTATAATCCGAACAAGCTTTGGTTCCCGCTACCATCAGCGTTTAAATCACTGCTGTAGCCGTCAGTACAGCCACTGAATAAAGTTTAAAAGAGCAGGACTTTTAACCACTGATCACGCTAACCTGGCGTTATTTTACATTTTATTTTCATCAGACATCAGCAACTAACATTTTTTTATTGCTTCATGGTTTCCAAAGCAGTAACTATTATTAACAGGTGGTGATTAAATCTCAAGCTCTCAAGACTTTTACAACAATCTTTTTGCTTTTTCAGTTCTTTTGATATTGTTTACAAGCTGTAAACAAGCTGCAAGAGGATGATCTTAAACCTGTTCCCTGCAGATAAATCCTAACGTTTTGATGGTAACGTGGCCCAAAAGCCTGCTCGTTTGACTACAGTTCTCCAGAACCAGAGCTAGCTAGGTTGTTTTCAGTCTACAGTCCATGCTAGGTTCCTACATCAGAAACCCAAGACACGTGTTATAACAAAAACGAACAGAACACAGAAATAAAAATAGAGGGCCAGAGACCGTCACCTTCGCTGCAAACTCATCAACCTGAAACAGAACCCAAAGAGATGACCCAACGTGACCTCGTGAGTTTTTCAGGCAAGCACTTTAGGAAGTTACTGGCACAAGTAACGAGCATTACACTCTGCTTTCTCATCTCAGTGCATCACTTTGGACGTCTTCTGCACAATACATTGTATTTTTACAGAACGTTGTCCACCTCCAACTTCTCAGAGTAATTTGAAAAGAAAAATCAACGACATAAGCTCAACTGTACATTAAAAAGTGATAAATTAAACTTGATTAAAACAAGTTTCAGCTCGTCCCTCTGTTCTAACCTTTGTCAGGTACTCTCTCATGACTTGGATGAAGTAAGGCATGGCAAAGTCCATGATGTTGTGCCTCCAGGCCAGCTCGAGCACCACATCAGGGTGCAGGAGGTCATAGGAGGCGAACAGGCAGGCAGCGAAACATTCCTTTCTGCCCTCCTCTAGGAACCACTGGAGCAGAGTCTCTGCCAGCTCAGCATCCTTGGACTCTGCAGCGAACAGCATGGCATCCTGGGAAATAATGAAACTCAATGAAACTAAACGACTCAACATGAGAATCATTTAATGCAAGAAGTAGTGTCCAAAATCACTTCACATGCACTAAAAATGCTAAAGAACTAAACAGTGCCTCCTTCTGGAGAGTGTAGAAACTTCACACTAATGTTCGTAGCATTCCTGTCCAACTTTATCAATATAAAGTTATTTTACCTTGTAGAGTTTGTCCGTCTTGCAGAGCTCCACGCTCTGTCTCCAGCGGTTGTTTCTTTTGTACAGATAAGCAGCGATACGCCTGAATTCAATCAGTTCGTGCTTTTCTAACCTCTGAGCCAGGCCGATTGTGTCAAAGTTGTCATAGGCATCGATGGACGCTCTCAGTCCCTGCAGATAGACGTACAGATTCAAATTACACGAGACGTGAGGAGAACAAATACAGGATGCCTCGTGCTCTGACTGGACTATCAATGTTCAATAAAATATACCTGCAGAGTCTAAACACACACAAACAACAGCATTTAATTAATCAAAAGAAGCAGTCTTTGATATTTAAAACAAGAGAAAGAAAATATTGCTATTGCTGAACAAAAAGATTGAACTCTGACATGGAGGCTCTGCAGAAATCTGTCAAGCAAATTGAATGCAGTGTTTTCAAAAACATTTTTAAAGCGAATAAATAAACAATTACACCTTTTGTCGTTTGTTGTACAGAAGATGATTAGGACATGTCTTAGTGTGCAAGCTTTTCCTTTTAATTCTAACCTATTGAAAGCAAGCATCACAGAACCAAGAGGCATGGAGCAGAACTCAGCTGTGTTGGTTCAGTAAATGTGTGGAGGACATCTCCCTTGTATCGTTTTCAAAACATTATAAATGACCTCAGTTTAGCGATTCTCTTAAACCATAAAGTTGCTGAGCGTCAGACATACAGTAGCATTCGTTCACACAGATCATGTACCATCACTTCTTCACAGTACTGAGATCCAACTGGGTTCCCTTTTTTTTAACGTGTCAACCGTTTCACCTCTATGACTACCTCACTACGTAGCACGTAAGGCACATCAGGGGTGGGTTGGCTTCAAACCTCTTGCCGCCCTGACTCATTTAGTCCATGATTAAACTAAAAACACTAAAAAAATCCTCACCATCCTGATGTTGACCAAATGCAGCTATGTCCTAAATTATTCTTCCTCCTTAGCTGAAATGTGAATTCATCTATTTTGTCTCCGCTTCTGACATTGTCATGTTTTTCCTCCAGCCCTTACAACTTCCAACAAGTGTGCAGCGACTAATCAGAAACATTGACCAAAATGGTTACATGTTACTTTAATGTACATTGTGTCAATACTTCATAAACGAAATAACCCGATGAACGAGTCCGGCTGAGACATTTACAAAAATCGATCATCTTTTCTTATTTTTCTTGGAAGCTAATGAAAATATTTAATGCCACTGAGACCAAAGATTTTAATGTAAAGCTTTTTAAATGCCATTAAAGGACTTAAATTTAGCAACATCCATTTAAAGACTTTTAATGTCCTCCACTGGAAATCCGGTGACAAAGAGATCACAAGTTATAGGTTCACACATTGTTCAGTTTTCAAAAAAAATTGTGCCAACTAGTAGAAGAAAACCTCGTTTTCTCAAACTTGCTCTGAATGAAAGTAAAAAACAGCCTAAATGATTTATAATCATCACCAGTCCCATTCCTACACACATTTCTCATGATTTACTCTTCAGAAACCTACAGACCTGGTAGTCTTCCTCTTCTGTTAGCAGGTTGTTGAGAGCTTCATTGACGGACTTATTGTTGTGGTTCTGAACTGATCTCAGGTATGGCTTAAGCAGCTTCAGCTGATTCATCTGCTCAAGGGAAAACAGCACATCATTATGTATCACTTGGCAGATAAGGTAGGAAAATTAGGCTAAACCGGCCGACTGGTTACCTTTGAGAAAAAGTTGACAGCTCTGCTGTGGTCCAACCGAGGGGACAAAATGGTCAGCAGGTCATTAAGAAGCAGAGGTTTGAATTCCAGGTAGAAAGAAAGAGATTTATAGTACAACTCCACATTTGCAACCTGAAGACAAAAAAAGTGAGAGAGACACACATCAAGATAATTTACAAATAAAATTTAACATTCTGTTAAAATTATTTTTGTTTACCTTTGCAATTATATCTTTGAACATCCCTTCTTTCCAAGCATCTGTGGGATGGTTCATCATAGTGATAACTGCATTGTCAAACTCCTCATATTTATCGTACAGAAACACCAGCTCGGCCCATAAATGAGACTGCTCTGCTGCACGAAGGACCTGTGAATCAGAAAATAAAAATGCTTCAGCTCTAAAGTAATGAAGAATCTTTAGAGGAACATTAACATCACAAATTAGCATATTTTCTTACATTGTAAACTCCAAAGAATAAACTTTACAAATTAACAGCAACAGACTAGGACAGAGAAAACGGGATCGGTTTCCTTTCAGACTGCTCATTAAAGGTAGACGAGAATTTTTGCACAGGGATAAGTTTTTAAACCTCCATCACTAAAAAGCTACCTTCGGGATGTTGACTCTGGACCAGAAGAGCTCCAGGTGCTCCTTCATCTTCTGAGGTTTGAACTTGGAGTAGAGGATGGCGAGCTCGGTGAACATGCCCATGTGGGCGCGCTCAAGGCCCAGAGCGGCCTCCAGCAGAGCAATGAGCTCCTCGAAATACCCGCGGTCCTGATAGTAGCTGATCAGGTCCTCCAGCTCGTCAGCGTGAATCACAATGTGAAGACCGCAGATCTGCGCCAGCCGAAACTCCTCACCGTCCACGCATGCAAAGCACACCTGTTGATCGGAGGGAAGAGTCATTAAACACACAAACAGAAAGGAAAATAAAAATATTAAAACATCACACAGAATTACGGCCGCATCGTTTTCCGTTTCATATTTTTCTATGCACTTTTTGCAATCCAACTACTTCTGCAGACTTTTGTACCGTTACAGCTCATTCAAGAGATGCGAGCTATGACTTCCAATTTTTTTAAAACTTTTGTATCTTTCAAAAGGTTTAACTTTAATTTTAACCATTAAAATACGTTTAGATCTCTTCAAATGTGGGATAGCATAATTCTCTTTTAAATCTGCTTCAACATATTTGCCGTATTTGTGTCTTCATATGATATTTTTAGCTATTGTTCTCCCACGTTTAGCTTCTAGCTAGCATTTTGCTGCTTTTAGATAGTGTTTGGCTACTTCTAGTTTCTAGATAGTCTTTTGCTACCGTTTTTAGCTTTGATTTAGCTTATTTTAGCTTTAAGTTAGCTTTTAGCAACAAAAAAAAAACAGATTTTAGCTAGCCTTTTGCTACATTTAAGATAGTGTGCTTCTTTTGTTATTAGCTAGTCTTCTACTCTTTTTACTTTTACCTAGTGTATTTCTCCTATTAGCTTCTAGATATACTTGATATTGGTTTCTAGCTGTCATTTTTCTCATTTTAGCTTTTAGTTTGCATTTTGCAACAATTAGCTTTTAGTTGTTTTTTGTTCTTTTTTACTAGCATTTCGCCATGATTAATCTAGTGTTTTGTATTTTTATAACTAAGCTAGTTCTCTGCTCATTTCTGCTTTAAGTTAGTGTTTTGCTCCTTTGGGCTTTAAGCTAGTGTTAATTTTTTTAAGCTTTAAGCTAATTCTCTATTTAGTGTTCTTTTTTAATTAGCTTTAAGCTAGTGGTCCCCTTCTTTTAGCTTTAAGCTAGTGTTCCCCTTCTTTTAGCTTTAAGCTAGTGTTCCCCTTATTTTAGCTTTAAGCTAGTGTTCCCCTTATTTTAGCTTTAAGCTAGTGTTACCCTTCTTTTAGCTTTAAGCTAGTGTTACCCTTCTTTTAGCTTTAAGCTAGTGTTCCCCTTCTTTTAGCTTTAAGCTAGCGTTCCCCTTCTTTTAGCTTTAAGCTAGCGTTCCCTTTCTTTTAGCTTTAAGCTAGCGTTCCCTTTCAATTAGCTTTAAGCTAGCGTTCCCTTTCAATTAGCTTTAAGCTAGTGTTCCCTTTCTTTTAGCTTTAAGCTAGTGTTCCCTTTCAATTAGCTTTAAGCTAGTGTTCCCTTTCAATTAGCTTTAAGCTAGTGTTCCCTTTCAATTAGCTTTAAGCTAGTGTTCCCTTTC